GATGATGTGGGTGTTGTCTCCAGAAAGCATGTGTGGAATGTGATAGCAAGTGGCGAAGTGTGAGCCTACGCAATTGTATCACACTCTTATTTTGGTGGTTTCTAAACTTGGCCATCAGAATTCCCAGAGAATCTATCAGCAACATAGAGATTGCTGGGCCCCAGCCCCAGACTCTGATTCATGCATCTGTCGGTGTCTCCAGCCTTGCCAAGGAAGAGTGTGTCCTGAACTATAACACTGTGTTTCCACGTTTAAAACATCCTACGGACAGGGCTGCATCAGTGCTCGGTGACACTAACCATGAGAAGCGTGCCACTTTTGCATTGATTTCATACTCAACAAGCAGTTCCTAGCCAGACATTGGCTTCCCACATAGATTTATCTAGAAGGCCTGAGTGTGCTAATCAGCATAATCTGGTCTGCTTGACGGTCGTAATTCTTGTGGTAAAGTAATAAACGTGCATTCCGGTTTATTCATCAGTCTCTTGTGAGTCTAAGTTGACAGAGCAACTCCAGGTGAAGTGAACCAAGTACTTTCTGGATCTGCAGGCGCTGGAATTTAGTGGTCACAGCCTTGCGGCAGTTAGTGCTCACAAGTTATGTGTGCCCCGTACATCTCGCGGCCCCCTGGCCCTTGGGCTGGGGCCACGTGACCAGGTCTTGCTGCACGGCACCCAGACGAAGGCGGATGAGAGTGAACGTGAGTTCTCCCTGCTTTCTCCCCTCGCTGCGCAGCTAGAGGCAAAGAACTCCAAGGTGGCAGAATTTTAAGACGAAAGCATCCCTGCTTCCTGAGTCACCAAGGGAGGAGGGCCACCAAAAGCTGCCTGGTACGCAGCGGATTATGATATGAACACGAGATAAGCCTGTGCTGTGTGCAGTGACTGAGATTTCCTGGGATCCCTGCCTTGGTGATCAGCGATACTAGTCTCCACGGGCCTCCGCCACCAGCTGTAGTGGGAGAAGCTTAGATGGTCTCTAGAGCACACCCTGGCTTTACGGTTCCTACTTGTCGGGGAAGAGAACCCACCCAAAGTCCACATCCCATTCTGGTGGGTAACGTTCTTTTGGTCCACAAAGGACCACGCACAAATGGGCCTGCTCTTGCTTACTGACAAAATCAGGAGGAAAAAAAACCAGTCCTGAGAGGAGCTAATATTTCTTCCTTTGGCTGTTTCTTTGGCCTAACCTGTCCACATTCCCTAGCATAGAGCTTAGTACACAGTAGGTGCTCAGTAAAGACTGACATGATAATCGTGACGACGACGTAGTATCGGGCTGTCTCGGCAAGGGTTAAAGGGGCAGTTTCCTTTTGTACAAATTCATAGTCATCAGGCATTTATAAAGAAAAAGTTTATTTCCATCACAGGAAGCACACACACTATATACAATACACATCAACAGAAGTAAAAAAAAAAAAAAAAAGTGCATTATGCATCTTCTACTGCAAATTCACAGTACAAAAGATACTGCCTTTTAAATATATAATATAAAAAAAACAAGAAGAGAAACAATATAATAAAAAATCATTGATATCATAACGCAACACACGGGAACCCACCGGCAGCTTCTGAGAAACCAAAGAACAACTCGTCTCATGGAGCTCCTGGTTTTGGGGGGAGGAAGGAGGTTTGGTCTGTACCTACATTTTGTTGCAAAAGAGCTCAAGACATGAATGGAGAGGAAAAATAGGGTGGCCTAGGTGGTAATAAAATCTGTTAAACAAGAGTACAATTGTGTGGCTGGGGCAATGGGTGAGATGCGGGGCTCTGGGTCAGAGGTCACCCTGCCTGTGCCACCCCCCAGATGGCCAATAAACCAAATTATATTTTTCATCAGCTCCTATGGGATACAGCGCCAACGCCTGCCTTGCCTGCAGGAACTACCAGTGCTGTTTTTTCTTTCTTTTTTTTTTTTGCGTGGGAGTCTTCCGGTGAGGACCAGAAAACCTGCTAGACAAATTCTAAAAGAGCTGTCACACCAGTGCTGTTTCTAGCAAGGCTCCTTGGAACAGCTGTGAACACACAATGTAAAGCTGCATAGCAGAATAAACACAGATACGGGATAGGACAAGCTAAGGTCCTAGTGCCAGCGACTACCAACAAGACGCAGTATCCAATCACAAACGATGAGACGTCGACCTTTTGCATAAATACACAGTATTTGTAAACTATTATTAAGGCACTCAATTGTAAAACAATAATTACAGTGTAGGAAAGAGGGAGGAAGCAGCTACTATCTTGTCCTGCAGCAAGGCCCACAGAAAGGACAGCAGAGGACCAAATGGTGATCTGGTTATGGAGACGCCTGTTGGAGAGAGTGACAGAAGCCAGGGCCGCGGCACCGCGGCACCTACGGCAAAACAAGAACAAGGCGGTCTCTCCAGATCGGTCACAGGATTCGCTTCGGAGCTCGGGTGACACGGCGTGCGTGCGGACGAGAGAGAAACGACGCACGTGGGAATGTGGCTCAAATTCTACACACTCAGATACATACAGGCGGAGTGAACTCACACACATAGGCAGTCAATCGCAGAACGAGCAATAACAGAACGAGTGGCCGGGCATGGGGGTGAAATCAAGGGCCTTCATTTGGCCTCAGCAGGAACCTGGGGGGTGGGACCAGGACAAGTGAACCTGCACTGTGCTGTCCCGATGTCACCAGGTTTCTGATCTCCCTAGCTCTCTTGCCAGAGGTGAAGTGGGTGCCCTCACCAGGTGGTGTGTTTACGGGGAGCCCTGCTAAGCGGCCAGCCACCGAGCAGGGCTGGATGGAACGTATTCTGGCACCAAGAATGTCCAGCCGACGGAAAGCAATTCCCTCTTCAGATGCCTCAGGCAAGGTTCCTTACCATGATCTCTTGACCAAATGCTGCAGCATTTGTTCCCATGAGGGAGACATGGTCCCCAGGGGAGGAGCAGGCTGCATCGACCTTCCAGGACAGGCTGGCCCCCAGGCCTGAGCACAGAAATACAGGGTTGCACTGAAGGTCTATTCTACTCAGCCTCAGCTCCCTCCTGCCGCATGCTCTGGCCTTACACCAGGGGAAAGGGCTGCAGAACTGACTGGAATGCTCTTTAGCAGGAGGGAGCAGAACGGGCCTTGGACAGTGTGCTGTTTCTGTGCACCTGGGTGAGGCATCTGCATGCTTGAGCCGCAGGGTGCCACGGAGAAGGGCTTGCCACCCGGCAGTGAGCTGTCCAACAGCCCAGAGGTTGGCAGGAGTCCCTGCACTGACGGCAGGGAAGTAGACGGGGAATGCGGGGAGAAAGAAACCGTGTCCTCAGGGACTTCATGCAGCCAGGACCTTGCCAGAAGCCCCTGAAGTGGCTACAAGACAAAGCGATGGAGATCGGCACTGTCCAATTATGATCAGAAGGCAGCCTGGTTCTTCCTCTCTGTGACCCCCTTATACTTAGAAATCTCAAAGAGAAGACCTTCCTGTTACTGCAAGGTGAAGATGTAGAGAAGTTCCGTCTACATTTTGGCATGCCACACCAGTTAAGGTGAGGCGGAAGATGAAACGCAGTGGAATATATAGCGTATCAAGCTGATTTAGAAAATTTTCCTTTTCTTCCAAATCAACAAAGGCATCTGATGAAAATGACAATCACGAAAAAGTCAATGACTTGCACAGCACAAACCTCTGCCTGCCTCTTTCTTGTGCCACTTACGTTTGGAATTTTGTCCATTGGCTAAGATTACACACAAAGCATCGGCCAAGCTATGGGATATCTTACAGGACAAACTTTCTTTTCTGAGACCAGTATGAACTTGTCTTTGCCAAGGTGCCCCCAAGCCTGGCACAATGCTCTTGTCTTATTTGCATAATATTTTAAATAATAATTTGCCATAGGTTTACGTGCAGCTTATTTGGGACTCCAGGAAAAAATCTTCGACCTTTTTTTCCAGGCCAGAGTATTAACCACCAAATCAAGAATGCTTCACTTTGCTCTGATGATGGGGACAAACGCCCTGGTGCCCGTTTAGATGTCCATATACTAGCTGTCCTCCCGAAAATGAATGGATAAGTTTGCCAAAAGCCAAAACGACCCACTTGTATTTGAAATCTTCTCCCTGCCCCGACTCTTTAACTGGATAAGAAAAATTATGGCTTTCGAAATTAAAGTTTTCAAAAATATGTCACTCTCATACACAGACATGGTTAAAAAAACCAACATAAGCCTGTCATCACCACATTTAAGGGATTATTTTGACACAACTGATCTGTCCCATAAAATTTAATTTGGCAAAACATACTGAACTTGGTATTTTTTTTTTTTTTGAGCCCGTGCTCTTGTTGGCTGAGAGGGGGAAAAACCCACAGGGGTTTCAGAAAAAGTGGATAATCACCTTTTAAGGTGCTTTCAATTGACACTAATGGGAAACAAATTCCTAGAAGACAAAGTATGTTTAAAAAAGAAGAAGAAGAAGAAGAAGAATCATACCAGGGAGAAACAGTTTCAGGAGAAAGGGTTTTTGCAAAAGCTCTACCCTCTGGTTGAAATACGAACTTGCCTTGTTCCTGAAGACCCTGCCCGGGGCGCTTTCCAGAATGGCCTGCTTTTGGGAACCCCGTTCTGACCAATGGAAGATGGCAACTCACTTGCCCACTTTCAGAATGTGGCTGGCCTTGAAGGCTTTCCGGTTTCACTGAGCTAATCTGGCAGACCCAGCGGAGGGCAAGGCGGAACTGTGGAAAAGCTCCAGCCAACGGTGTCCCCCCGACAGTCCCCCATATAAACAACTATTCCATCCTGCACGAGAGACACAAGCTGGGCTGGGCTGGCAAGGCCTGGAGTCGGGAGGAGGGAAGAGCCAGGTGTCCAGGGGGCAGAGGTGGTCTTCAAATCTGCTGTTTCTTCTGCAGGGCCAAGGCCAGCCCCGTGTTGTCAAATATAACCAGGGCTCGGCAAACTTTCTCTGTGAAGGACCTGACAGTAAACTATCTTAGGCTTTGTGGGCCCTGTGGTTTCTGTCACATTATTTCATTTTTTTTTTTAACAACCCTGTAAAAATGCAAAAACCATTCTTAGCTCAGGGGGCCATACACAATAGATTGCTGATCCCTGAATTCAACCTTCCTGTCTTTCTACCGAGCTGCCGCTCTCTCTTCAAAATGCTTTCACATTCTGTCTTGCCAGTTGACACTAGATGAGTCCTCTGATTCAAGCCCAGAGCCCAGGCCCGAGCTCACCTGGTTCTGAAAGGGGCCACCCACAGAGGCGAGGCCAGACCACAGATCATCGGTGCTGGGAGGAAACAGGAAGCAGTATTCTTGCAGCAAGGGCCACTGTAAACGCCTGTGAAGCTTTTCAACAGCCCCACCCCTCTCCAAGAAGCTGCTGCTGAGTTACTCCTGGAGAGGGAACTGCTGAAATCTCCATCCTCTCCCCAGACAGGAACAGACAGGGCCAAACGAGCCGGAGTGTCCGGGCTCCCAGCAGGACAATCCGCGTTTCAGAACCACCGCTCCTGCCCGAGCGCTGTCAAAACCTAAAGGCAACCACATGCGTGCGCAGTGTGGCAGCAGGCGGGGCTCACGACGCCTGGTGGGCCCTTCCCCTCTGCTAGGGGTGCTTTCAACTTCAGCATTAGCAACAGCTGGGACCATCACGCTCGTCATATTTTCCCCACCTGACCCCTGCACTGGTCAAACACACGTCACTCAGCTGTAACAGTGGCACCGGGACAGAGTAAGCTCCCCCCACCGCACAGGATGCCTCCGTCCGGTGCCGTCGAGTTACAAGTCTTGACACATCTGGGGTCCCAACCAAAACACAGAACACAAGAAAATTCTCTCTCTTTTTTTTTTTTTTTTGGAAAAACCTTTTCTAACACAGCATTATTCCCTGGAACGAGCCTTGGTCATTCTTGTATTTTAAAAATAAAAAGCACAGCAAGAACAGAGAGGTAGGACTTATGTCGCCATCCACGAGTTTTCCGAGAGGGCCATGAATGAGCTAGAACGTCTACCGCAGCGATGCCACCATTGCTGCGACTTTTGTTCTGCAGGCTGCACACGGAACAGTTTGGACGTGGGCGCACATCTGCGCACGTTTGCGCACATCTGCGCACGTTCTGCTCAAGACACGATTCTTCTTGAAAACGCAGGGCTTGGGAGCAGGGTCTTGTGTCTGCCGGCTCGTGGTTTCTGGTCCTCCCAGGCCACACCGCTGAGAATTCCCCTTACTTCTTGTGCTGCAAGTTCGTTATTTTTGTGTCTTCTCCTCCTCTCCGTGGCAAGAGAGGGAAAAGTTAGGATGACTTCAGTTAAGGGAAATCGAGATGGAAGGGGCTGACCAAAATCCACAGTGAGACGACGAGAGGAAGCATCTGAAAACACACATCCCGGTGCAGCAGGAGGGTCAGCTTTTGCTCGCCCAGGAGGGGCTCTTCAAGTGTTCTAGGGCAGATGTCCCTGATGGTCTGGAGGTTGCAGGTGGGTTCCTCGGGGCGGCCTGGGGCTCATGCAGGAAGGAAGACTCACTCATCGTGGCATCCTGGGAGTCAGCAACAGTGGATGGGTCAGCCTCGCTGGATAGGTCTTCTGTCGAGAAGTTGAGACTCCCGAGCTTGGCGAGGGAGTGCGAGCGCTTCAGCGGGGACGAGACGGTGAGGCCCGCCAGCCGGAGCCGGGTCTCGATCTCCTGGGTGCGCTGCTTCACCAGCCCCGGCTTCCCGCGGACGCTGTGGATGCTGTCGCTGCTGGAGCTCCGAGTCAGGTTGGAGCTCATGGAAGAGGAGGTGGGGGTGTAGCAGATGGTCTTCAGAAAGTCCTTTGAGAAATGACTGGTGTGATCCAGGCGGCAGAGGAAGTGGGGGGGACTCCTCAGCGAGGCTCCCTCCAAGGGAAGGGGGGCAGCCTCCGCTTTCTCATCGCTCCCGGCCAGGCTGGGGAAAGGCAGGGGCCCCGGCTCCCGGAGAGCGGCCGGACCCTGGTTCTCCTCGGGGATGCTGGCCTCCAGCCTGCCGGCCGTGCAGTCCCTGAAGGCAGACGCCGGGTCTGCTGGCGCGCTCTTCAGTCTCTCCAGCTCTTTGGTGTGCTTGCGGACCAAGCCTGCCTTCTGCAGCTGGATGATGGACTCCTGGTGCTGCATCAGGTAGCTGTTGGTCGTGGGCTTCTCGGCCTCGTTACTGAACAGAAGCCGCAGGTCCTTAGCAGGCTTCGGATCTTTCTTGGGTGGTGACTCTTCCTTCACCACTTCCATGCTGGGAGGGTTCTTATCACAGTGAGAATTCTTCAGAAGGAGGGACTTTGGCAGGACTTTTGGGGTCTCTCTGGAAGGTTCCAAAAGGCTAGCTGGGAGCTCTGGGGCAGCTGCAGCCCCAGAGCCACTGGTGTCTGGCCTCCTCGAGCCTGCTGGTGGTAGGAGCGGGGGAGTCTCGGCGGGGCTGGAAGCCGGCTTCTCCAGAGCCCGGGCCCGGCTGGCCGTGAGGGCCATAGGGCAAGACGTGACGTGGGGCAGGAAGGCAGGCTGGGTGCAGATGGCAGGGGCACCAGGGTCCTCGCATCGCTCCCTGAAGGCGTCCGAGGCCCCGCTGGCTGGCGGGTACATGCAGTCAGCACAGGATCTATAGGAAGGCTTCACTTTGTTAAGGATCCCGAACATGGCGTCCTGCTGCAAGGGGACGAGAACATGGTGAGAGGGGCCCTGATGAGCTGAGACAAACACTAGGAGGCGGGTAGGAGGCGGAGCTGGGGCAGACCCCGGAGGGGAGGCTCTTGCTTCGTTTAGTGCAGGAGTAGAGACCTCCCAGGACCCACCTGACCCTGAATAATGCAGACCAGACAGGAGCTGCAGACGCCAAACAAAACTGCCCAGAAGCACGTGCCTGAGACTCTGGGCAGACCTTGGGCCACGCTCCAGCGTAGCCGGGGCAGGACCCCCAGGGCCCTCCTTCCCAACTCTGCCCCTGCCCCCTGCACAGTGTGACACTCTTGCAGGACTTGGTCTCGTTGGGAAAACAGGGTGACAACCCCTGCCTCACAGCACTGTGAGAATGACACTAAA